CACAACCACATCCCCGGGAAAAGTGCTCTTCCAAAACAAAGAGTCTCCCCCAAAGGTCAACTGACTTGTCTAAGGACAGAGAGTGCTCACTAAATATAGGCCCTTGCACACGCCCACGTGCACACACGGGCACACACATGTATACTCCTACCAGGCACTCCAAACCAGAGTGCTCACGACAAGGAAGAGCGAATTCCAGATTTTTCCACGTTGAGGATGAGGGTGTGACAACTCACTCCTCACCCCCGTTCCAGGGCATTCCTTCCAAGTCCTAACGTAGGTTTCACGAGTTGCTCTGGCCTCCAGATTTTCCAGATTCCATTTTCCGTCTGTAGCCTGGGGTCCCCAGCCTGCTCCTTTCTCCCTCTCGGGCCTGCAGGGAGGATGGAAGAGAGTGGGGTCTCTGTGCCCTCACCTCCAGGACTGAGCGATGTACCCTGTTGACAATTCCAAGACTGGCTCTCAGAGGACCAGAGACAGAATTTTCTCCAAGGAAGGTTGGCTCACTTGTCTACATACAGAGTGCCCCAGTGCCCCAGCTCTTCTGAAGCAGGGGTAATGAAAAATAAGTATGGGTGCTTGGGATGGTTAGTTTTATGTGTTAACTTGGCAAGTCTGAAGGTATTTTGCAGATGTGAATGACATGTACCACCCATTAACTTTAAATAAAGGAGATGGTCCTCAAAGGCAGAGATGGGCCTCATCCATTCAGCTGAAAGTCCTTAAGAGCAAAACTTACTCAAGTGTGTCAAGCAAAACCCTACACTGACAATCAATTGTTTGCAGAGCTGATGTTTTCTAACATCTGTTTTAAGAATTTTAATTTTTTTAATTCTAATTTGTTATACATGACAGCAGAACGCATTACAATTCATATTACACATATAGAGCACAATTTTTCATATCTCTGGTTGTCCACAATGTAGAATCACACCATTCATTTCTTCATACATGTACTTGGGGTAATGATGTCCATCTCATTCCACCATCTTTCCTACCCCCATTTACCCTGCCTTCCCCTCCCTCCCCTTTGCCCTATCTAGAGTTCATCTAATCCTCCCATGCCCCCTCAACCACATAATGAATCAGCATCCTTAAATCAGAGAAAACATTTGGCATTTGGTTTTTGGGGACTGGCTAACTTCACTTAGCATTATATTCTCCAGCTCTATCCATTTACCTGCAAATGCCATGATTTTAGTCTCTTTTATTGCCAAGTAATATTCCATTGTGTATATATGCCACATTTTCTTTATCCTTTCATCCACTGAAGGGCATCTAGGTTGGTTCCACAGTTTAGCTATTGTGAATTGTGCTGCTATAAACATTGATGTGGCTGTGTCCCTGTAGTATGCTGTTTTAAGTCCTTTGGGTGTAGACCAAGGAGTGGGATAGCTGGGTCAAATGGTGGTTCCATTCCCAGTTTTCCCAGGAATCTCCATATTGTTTTCTATATTGGCTGCACCAATTTGCAGTCCCACCAGAATGTATGAGTGTGCCTTTTCCCCACATCCTTGCCAACACTTATTGTTGTTTGTCTTCATAACAGCTGCCATTCTGACTGGAGTGAGATGGAATCTTAGAATAGTTTTGATTTGCATTTCTCTAATTGCTAGAGATGTTGAACATTTTTTTTCATTTATTTGTTGATTAATTGTATATCTTCTGAGAAGTGTGTTTTAAGATTCTGAAGTTTAAATCTGCTCTTTTTCATTGCCCATGCTGACATTTTCACCAGGCTCTCCTTGGTTAAGCTGATACCTTGGCTTATTTAATCCAAAAGCACAGCTATGTCTTTAAAGATCCTGAGGACCAACTTATCACACCCTATTTCTCATCCTCCCTTAAGGAATAGCAAGTAGCTGTTCCTGTTGTAAGAAGTCTGACTCTCATAAATTGGGTCAAGAATTTTTTTCATGCCAAGTCAACATATTATTTATTTTAAAACAATAAAGAAACCAAAAAATAAATAAATAAATAAATATCGGTTGGTCTGTGTACTTAAACATAGTTGAAATCCGGTTGGTTCAAGATTAGAAAATAGGGCTGGGGATGTGGCTCAAGCGGTAGTGCGCTCGCCTGGCATGTGTGCGGCCCGGGTTCGATCCTCAGCACCACATACAAACAAAGACGTTGTGTCCGCCGAAAACTAAAAAAAAATAAACATTAAAAAAAAAATTCTCTCTCTCTTTAAAAAAAAAAAGATTAGAAAATAATTGAAGTGTTTGCTTTGCTTATTGCTGAGCAGCCCAGAAATGCTGTAGTTGAAATGCGCTGGACTTTGGGCAAGGCACTGGGGGGAAAGGTGAAGTTTCCTGGAGGAGGCAGGACCCCCTGGTGGAGGGCCGCACTCCTGCTTGAGCAGTCCCCAGACTTCGGCCTCCCCCAGCGGCCCCCCGCTGCAAAGCCAGGTCCTACGTCAGCCAGTGGGTCAGCAGGCTCCTGGTTCTGTTTAAGGACTTGCTGTCTTTAGGATCTGCTGGCGGAGGCCCCGCTTGAGTTGTGCAGTCATCTTGAGTCACAGTCGCAGTGACTGTCCCTGAGTTGTCCCACTCTGCTTTCCCCACAGAGTTTCCCAGAATGCTACCACCTCGGCACTTTCTGTGACAGGGCTCCCGGCTGCCACACTGGGCACCAGCTCACGGTCCAGAAGAGAAGCGGCAGCGGGGTGGCCGGGTGGGAGCCCGGGCAGCAAGCTCGGCTGGACCCTGCCGTGCAGGTGCAGCAGCCTGAGGCGCTGGCAAAGGTGTGCTGACCTGTCACCCTTCGGTGGCCAGGCCTGGACACTCTACAGTCGCCGGCTACAGAAGCCCGCTCCTGACCTGAGGAGACATTGCAAGTGCCGCAGACTGAATGGAAGCTGGGACTGAGAGTCGACCAACAGCGTCGGTGCGTTTCCAACCCCTAATTGGTATAAATGTTTTAAATAAATAGTGTAAAAAAAAGCATTGGTCCTTTTTTCAAACCCTAATTAGCATAAGTTTGGACCAATAGCAGTGACCCAGGTGCTATATAAACCCCAGCGCACGCGGGACGTGGAGAATCTGACGTCGGATACCCGCTTGCTGTAGGAGAGTTCCTTTGGTTATGTTGATCTGCTGCTTGTGGCCACTGGGTCTCTGCAGTGCTGAAGGACTTAGCGCCCCAGTAAGAGCTGTGACCCCGCCTGCCATCAGAGGAACTCCAGTTTCAGCTGTCCCCAGGAGTGGAAAATTGAGTTTCATCTCAAGCTTTGGTTTCACTTGGGGCTTTCTGACTGGTGCTGGGCATGATTGATGCCAAGAGTGTCCCTGACTCTTTTTCATAGGCATTTGCCGAGTACCCGGCATGACCAACTGCTGCGGAGACTGACCGATAGGGCTTTGTCGGGCCAGCGGAGGCCACAGTAATCTGATGTTCTATTAGAATGAACTAGGGCCACTTTTTAAAACTTACCAAAACGCGGTCTTGCAGAGGTGCTGATGTATTCATGTCTGATTGTCCTCTGGAGGTACCACAGAGGGCCTGGGCAGCAGGAGGAGCTCCGTCTTGGAGTGCTGACCAGGACTCTTCGGAGAACATTTGTAGGAGGACAACATGCCTGAGTCACTCACACACCTGTTCGTGCCCACGGCTCTAGCCAGGTAACCCCGAGTGGGTAACGTGGCTTCCAGGGACACCAGGTAGGGGCTTATTACCGTAGAAGGAGCCAAGATGCAGCAGCACCATGTCTGGGCTCCTCAGCGGAGCCTGGCTGTAGAGCAGGTCAGCTGACGGGACACTGAGTCTAAGCTCAAGTCTCAAGACCTCGCTCCGTGGTGTCGAGCATCCCTGAACCTCAACCCGAGGAGTCTATCCAACAGCTGTGGGGTGGGCCCAGGAATCTGTGTCTGCCAGGGCTCCTGGTGCCCCCAGGCACTTCCAAGGAACGGTGCTCTGGCAACCCCGTCTCCATTTAGTATTACCAGCCACGGGGAACTAACTGGTGCCACCAGCATGTTCCTGTCCGCCCCCCCTGACTTGCTCCTGTGTCGTGGGACACTCTCTGAGCTGTGCCTCCCAGCCAGTCCCACACTGACCCTTCAACACACACACACTTCACACCAATTCAGCTCAGCAAATGTTTATTGGGCACCTACAAGAGTTAAGGTCTACAGTACCAGGTGCTATGGGGCACACAGACGGGGAGGCCAGGCCTCACCTGGAGAGCTGGACAGTCCAGTAGGGGAGATCCTCAACAGGAGGAGAGGCAGGACCAGGTGAGCTCTGGGGCTGGGGTGGGAGATCAAGCAGGCCGGCTCGGATGGTCAGTGTGGGCATTGCGGTAGTCCTGGGAGTTGAGCAGGACTCAGAGGTGGACTGGAGCCAGGAGGACACCTGAGTTCCAGGGAGGTGAAGAGTACAGTGGCTGCTCAGGAACAGGGAGCCACCTGCCTTGGCTGGAACGGGAGGCTGCAGGGCTAACAGGGAGCCAGGCTGGAGAGCAGGCAGAGGCCCGATGGTGGACCTCATTGTGCAGGCAGAGGTGAGCCACAGAAGGCTTCTGAGCGAGGGAGTGATGTGATCTCAGGTCCTCATCTCTGGGCACACAGCTGTGAGGAGCATATTTCTCTCCTTTGCTCTGGACTCTTGGCACAAAGCAGACACAAGCCTAGGCCTTGGGCCTCCACCTTCCTGGGCTGCCCAGAGCTAGGAAGCAGTGGCCTTGCTAGGTGACGGTCAAGCTCACTCACAGTTTGCACCCTCCGAGAGAAGGAAGCTAGGCGGACAGCGGGCAGGGCACAAGGAAGGCACGCAGCAGACCTCAGTCACCTAAGCAGGGCAAGGATGCGCTCCGGGAAAACAGGAGAGCCAAAACCACGGAGCAGCGCGAGATGCCAAATCCACATCACCAGCTAAACCCTCCCCAGGGGGCTTCCGTGAGACCTCCCGCCACCCTGCCGCCCCCACCGGCAGGCGGGACCTGCAGGATGGCCCACTGGGATCAGAGCAGGGCTTCTAGGTGCTCTACTCCTAGGGGACTCTGCTCACGGAGGCTCCTTGGACACTGCCTAACTGTCCAGAGAGGAGGGGGAGTGGCGCCCACCCCCTCCAGGGCCACCCCAGCCTGGGAAGGGATGTGAGGCCACTGCGGTCCAGGTGGACACTGCAATGCTGGTCAGTGAGGGCTCCCCCAGGACCTCCACACCGCCTGAAGCTGGAGCTTGGGTGGGGAGCCCGGAGGCGGGTGAGGTCACGGCTGGGCTGCCAAGGAGAAAGGCTCCCGGGGTGCTGCCGTGAGCCTCTGCGCCTGACCCAGCAGGGCCCCCGCCTCCATTGCTGATGGTCCACAGGCAGGGATAGGAGCTGCAGAGGGGAGAGAGAGAGAGAGAGCGTCAGATGGCGCCCCAGGGAGGACTACCACAGGCAGGAGAGGGCTCTGGCCATGCCTGCTCCCAGCAGTGGCACAAACGGGCCCCGCTTGTGCAGAAAAGCCAAGAGACGTCACGAGAGGTAGTGGCATGAAATTACTTGTCCTGACACTGAATCACGGTGCTGGCCTGGCCCCTGGCAAGGGGTTCCATTCTCTGGTCTCACCTGCAGCTCATATAAAGCAGGCAGGACCATGCAAGGAAGGATTAGAACCTCAGACTCTGTGAGAACGGTCCCCCCCTGGCCAGGAGTGGCCGTGTGGCCGACCACGGCTGTTGGAAGCACTGGGTCTGAATCCTAGCTCCACCTCACGTGAGCCCTGTGACCTCGAGCAGAGTGGTTAGTAACTCTGAGCGTCTGCTTCTTCAGCTTCGGGGCTCGCAGTGGTATCTTACAGACCTGAGAGGCTGTTGCAAGGATTCAACGAAAAGGTGAGTATATGGTGCCTGGCACGGGACACTCAGTAAACAGTGGTAGTTATTATGACGTCTCTTCCTGGTCTCCACCTGTCAGCTAGGGTCCCTGGCAGGAAGCCTGAGGCTGACCACTTCTTTGCCATCTCTACTTCTATAGCACTGGTTCAAGACTTGGTTGCACTTTGGAATCACTCAGTGAGTTTAGAGATGGAAAAAAGTTAGATGCCCGGGCACCATCCCCTGGAGATTCTCACCATGGTCTGGCACGCAGCCTGGGTATCGGGAATTTTTAAAGCTTCCTTGTTGATTGTACCATGCAGCAAAATTTACATAATAATAATAGAGAACTCAGGTGCACGTGACTGAGTCAGAGCTGTAGGGTGACTGCCAGTGTGCTGAGCCTTGGGCGTGGCTCTCTGCCCACTGCTTAGAGCTCCTGTGTTGAGGGCCACAGCCGAGTTGGGATGACGCATGGCATTTGCCACATCACGGGGAGGGGTTGTTGATCTTTATGCTTATGACTGCTCCCACTAAGATTTCCACGTTGATCCTCAATTTTACGCCTATCTTGACTCCTACTGGGACTCGAGTGACTTCTACTTCTACGTCTCTCTCAGGAAGGACTCCGATTTCGTCGTCTTTCTCTTTCAAGGCTACTTCTACTAGATCTTCTCCTATCTCTAACCTTAATCCTAGCCCTATTGCTCTCTATTTTAATTCTGCGAGAGTAGCTTCTACTTCTGCTACGTCTAGCTTTAGTTGTTGGAGATCTACTCCTACTATGTCTCTTTTTCCTTTTAGGAGAAGAAGACCGAGAAGATGTGCGACTACTGCCTGAACTAGAACTGTATGAAGAACTAGAGACAGTACTACTAGTACTACTAGTTCTGCTATTGCTACTGGAACTACCACTACTAGAACTTCCTGATCTACTCCTTCCTTGTTTCTCTTTTTCTTTATGCTCTTTTTTTGGTTCTAAAACTGACGTATTTTCATTCGGAGTTCTTTTCATTAACCAGATCACCATCTGCTTCTCTTGCTTCTAGCAGTGATGAACTATTTTGCTCTTTATGGATAAATTCATTCATCTCTTTTGCAACCCTTTCTGTTTGTTTGCGGCACTCCTGCCTTGCCTGAGGTGGCCCACCTTCCTTGATGGGTGGACTCCAATGATACAGTCCAGATTTTAAATTGAACGATGGGACTTGGTGAGACATTAGATGGCCGATTTTAGGTCTGCATAAAGTGGAATGTGACACTGCTGGTCCCACCTCAGTGTGTTAGAATCAGCTGGGGTAAATAAATGCAGAGCCTGGCAGCAGGTCTGGCCTGGGGCCTGAGATGCTGCATTTCTGACCGGTGCTCCTGATGCTGCTGCTATTGCTGTGGCCCACGGGGTCGAGAGCTGTGCCATCCTGACCTCCTGAAATTCAGTCCAAACTGAGTCAGGTGGAAAGACACCCTACACACCAGATTTTGAAGACTCAGTACAAAATGTAACGAAAATCTCAACAAATTTCTTACATAAAATGCAGGTGGATATGATTATATTTTGAATATCTTGTATTGCACAAAATATTGACATGTTTTTTTTTTTCTTTTTAAAATGTGGCTACTAGAACATTTAAGCTTACACACGTGGCTGGCAGCTGTGACACCTGTGGTTCATGTTTTATTCCTGTTGGACGGGGCTGGTCTGAACCCAAAGGAAGAGCTCTGATTCGGGCTGTGGCAGGGTGTGAGAACGAGAACAAGGATGAGGGTCCTGGGGATCCCGACAGCCAGGGGCCAAGCTCTGTCCTACACACTGTGTAGTTGTGCCCGGCTCTCAGGGCCAACTGCAAGGCCAGTATTAGCACTTTCTGGAGGCTGAAGGTCAAGGTCACACAGAAGGCAGAGTGGCCTGGAGCCGTGGTTTCTGTGCTGGCTTAGGAGGCTCCCAAAGGCCTCTAGTGTCATGGAGACCAGACCCCAACAAGAAGGGTGGGCTCCAAGGGCTGAGACGATGGGTGTCTGCAGGCTCACGTGGCCATGCAGGCCGTCAGGACCTGGCTGTGGCACAGGCCGGAGGTACCGTAGGATTTTGTTAGAGAAAAACAAATGTTTTGTCACTTTTGATTCCCCGTTGGATAGTGACTGTATTCCACACGTCTGTGTGGAGCACCACAGTGACATTTACACAGAATGGCGCTGCAGACAAAGCATCCTAGCACATTTCTCATTTCGATGCTTATAGTAGCTCTGATCTACAGAGAACCTTGGGCTATTTCAGGAGATAGGAAAGCCAAAGCTAGGGGAGGCCAGGAACAAAGCCCAAGGTCAAAGTCCGAAATGGGCAGACAGCGTCACCTCTGCCAGACTCAAGCCACCCATTCTTTCCCCTCCACCACCCTGAGGTGCTCATCCCCAAAAGCCAGCTGGACGCAGCCCTCTGGGGTGAGACCACACCTCGGGGCCCAGCACTACATCTGGTCCTAACGCCAGGCTGTGAGCCATGTCCCCACTGTACCCCCTTTCAGAGGGAGAGACATAAGAGAATAGGGGCAGCCAAGGGCCTCAATTCCTCAGTGTATTTTTACATATTTGCTTTTTAATGCACCTATACTTGATGTGTGTGCGTGTGTGTGTGCGTGTGCGTGTGTGTGTGTACACGTGTGTATACATGACTTATTTGTTATAGCCTCAGTTTAAAGTGTTTCTGGCTGGTTCCAATGATCCCAGGCCACAGTGTTTTCTCCCCTTTAAACATACAATGTCAATGCCACAAGAATAGAGCAGACACCCAGGTGGCGGCTTCACCAATGTCCTTCCTCCAGCCACAGAGGTCGGTCCTCTTGGGCCCCTTACATCCTGGCTGCTGAGGAGTCAGTTGAGGCTGAGCCACTCTAGCAAGAAGAAGCTACTGGGTCCCCAGAGGACAGTGAGGCTCCCAGACCACCCAAGAGCGAGCTTACCTGGGCCCTGGGTTGATGGGTCCGTTGGTGTGGGGCACAGACAGGATGCTGGCGTGGGGAGCGGAGGACAAGGAAGTCCAGCTGTCGGCTCCCGAGAACACTTGCAGATTATTGCTTGAGCTTTCTATCAAATTCACTTTGGAGAAATGACAACGAGTCAAATTCACGGAACACACAGAACACGTAAAGATGGTGACCAGGGACATCAGCTGGAGCGAAATATAACTGTGGCTTACACTGCGAGGCAATGGCTCGTCAGTCCTTCTGAGGGTAGTGGAGCGGAAGGGGCTTGGGCTACTGAAGTAGCACATGCCAGTGTCACAGAGGTCCCTTCACAGCCCACCTCCAGCTGACAGAGGCTCCCAGAGGGGGCGTTTGCCCTCAGTGACACGAACCTGCCCGACTCCTTCCCCACATTCACTCTCCTTGAGAACGGGCCAAACAGCTTCTCTCTGGCTGGAGGGCCCCGGGCCCAGAGAGATTCCTAGGTCCTTATTCTCCTCAGTGCCCCCCAAGCAGCTCTAAAGGTCTTGAGAACAGTGTCCTCTCACAGGAAGGAAGACTGCATGACCTCATGCCTCCGTGGGGCTGAAACACTAGAAGACAGCAGTACCAGGGTGGACAGAGAGTGGCCCAGAGCACCAGGGCTGGACAGAGAGTGGCCAGAGCACCAATGGTGGATGCAGAATGGCTCAGTACACCAGGGATGGACAGAGAGTGGTCCAGAACACCAGGGCTGGTCAGAGAGTGGCCAGAGCACCAGAGTGGACACAGAGTGGCCCAGTGTGGAGTAGAAAGTGGCCAGAGCACCAGGAGTGGACAGAGAGTGGCCAGAGCACCAGGGGTGGACGCAGAGTGGCCCAGCGCACCAGGAGTGTGGAGAGGGGAAATGAGGTTGGCCAGAGGATGCAGACATGCAGGACTGTGGAGGAATCAGTCCGGAGCTGAGCGTGCGGCTCGAGGCCTGAGGTCTCTATGGCTGTATGTACTGGACACTTACTAAGAGCATAGATTTCAGGTGCTCTAACCTAAAAAGAAAAAAGGAAACTACATGAGAAAATGGAATTTCTATTTGCTTTACTCTGGAGATCACATTATACACCTTAAATATAAACAGTTTTATGGGGAAAGAAAGAAAAGTGTCTTCTATTTCTTTGAATCGTCATTTGTATAAACATGACTGTGAGAGAGAGGGGGCAGGAAGGGGAAAGGGGAAGAGAAGAGGGTGAGCACAATTCCAAGTGTGCCCCTGGTACTGTGGTCTGAACGTGTCCCACAGAGTCTCTGTGTTAGGAACGTGGTCTCCGCTGCCACCGTGCTGAGAGGTGGGACTGCGGGAACCCTCCTGGGGATGGAGCGGGGCCCCTGCCGTGGGAGTGGGTTCCTGAGGACAGCATCCATCAGCCCCTTCCCCATCTGCAAGATGACATCTGCCTCATCACAACCCAGCAGGAAGACCCCCACCAAATGCCGCTGTCTTGGTCTCGGGCGCCCCAGCCTCCACAGCTGTGAGGAGGTGGGTTCTGTTCTCTACACACAGCTGCACAAAATGGGCCAAGACTCCGGCCATGCTGCCCCTTGTAGTGAGCTGACACTTGCAGCCTCGTGGAGCTCAGCCCTTACATCTTCCAGCAGCCCCCCCTCAATACCCTGTTCAGAGTCTGTTCCCCAGACGGTGAGGCTCCTGTACCCTCCATGCCCACCTGGAATGGCACGTGTCATCCATCCTTCACTCCTGCCCAGTCCACCGCTGACCTTGTCTATTCAAGACCCTGTCTACTTGAGTAGACCTTGTCTGCTTCAAGGCTCAGTCTGATGACCACCCCTCCGGGCAGCCTCCTCTGCCTGCCCAGATCCAGTTGGTCTTTTCCTTCCCACAGCACCTTGTTCTCAAGCCCTAAGGTGCCTTGCATCTCCTGGGACCTTGTGAAGATGCAGACTTGAACCAGGAGTCCAGCCTGAGTATCTAGAGTGCTGGTGATGCTGCAGGTCTGGGGACCACGTTAGAGCGCTCGCTGCATTTTGTTATGGTTATTTATCTGTTTGTGAAGCCCTGTGATTCCCCAGGGAGCAGCTGTGTGTTCCTCCCCCCTGTCCCCACCACCTACAGAACCGGGGGCAGAGCAGGTGCTAGGAGAGGCGCTGTGTGGACCAGGATCATGAAGACGCACATTCTCCCCTCCAGGCAGCCGCTGTTGGGGTTGACAGCAGTAGCTGCCTGGGGGCACAGGGACAGGCAGCTTTCCCCTCCCCCACACCCCAGAGCCTAATTAGCAGAACCACACACCTGAGGGAGAGTGGTTCCTGTGCATGTACGCAGAAGGGTAGGGAGCTTGCCGGTGTCCTCGGAGCCCCGAGTAATGCTCGCAGCCATGGTGGGTGTGGGGAGCAGGCAGGGGCAAGGGCGTCGCATACTGGTAGTTGGCATTTCCTGCTGTGCACACACCATCCGGATTGGAAAAGATCCAGCCTCCCACTGGAACAGACAACAGGAAAATACAGGGACTGACACACAGAAATCAGCTGACCAGCTACTTTGCACAGCACGTTTCTTGGGAATGACAGTGACCCTGCCCATGTGGAAATTCCACCACCCCTTCCCCATGAACAGGTGACCTGGTCTCTCTGGAGATGGACAGGTCCCCTCAAGGTGTGCAAAACCACTAAATAACACTGCGCTATGGCTATACCAATACAACCCGAATGCAGAAGTTAATGGAAGCTATACAAAATACAACCTGAAAGCTACTTTCTTATAATAAAAGTGTGTCCAGGAGGCCTCCGACTTGTGTCCAGCTCACTGGCCTCCACCAGGGGCTGCCTGGTGAGGTGGCAAGGAAGGAGCAAGGTGCTCGTTTCTGCCGGTGGGAAGGTGAGGCCTCCCGTCACCAACGCGGGACACTCCTGGCACAGAGAAAGAGCGCTGGCCTCGCACACCTTGGCAGAGAGCATTTTGCAGAATATTTTGGAAAACTTAAAAATATTTCATAGAAATCAGCTGGTGGAGATCCTGAACAGAAGATTCTACTGCGGGAGAGCTCCTGGGTAAAGATGGAGACTCAGTGATTCAGGCCCTGAATAAGAAACACATTCTCCCACCAGATCTCAGCTGGGATGACAGACAGTGATTCAGACAAGGCCAGAGCTGCTCCTGAAGAATTGTGACCAAGGATTGTCACCTCAGCAATGTGGAAAAGGACCTTGGAACTAGCACCCACGGCCATTGCTGAAACGCTCGTAAAGTCTAAGTAAGCACATCGCACAGAGTTCGGTCGTTCCTGACAATCCTGTGTTCTCCCCATGGTTGTGTAAGCATACGACCCAAGGTGTCCCTACCCAGAGAGTGAGGTCAAAGTAGGCCACCCCCCAAAATATGCTTCTTTAGCATGCTATGAGATGGCCTTGCAGTGGGCTGTGACACAGGAGTCCTTCTGCAAGCTGCCCTTTTGTGGTGCAGGTGGACACCGTAGTGGAAGCCCACAGTGAACGCAATGCCCTGGCTCTGAAGCCCCTCCTCAGCCTGTGTGGACTTGCCCTGAGACTCCACAGGACGTCCCATATTCTTCTGCACAATAAGACCACTCTGTTCAGTGCATTTTCTTCCCTCCACCCCACCAAGTGCCTATTTCTGTAGTTCAAATGCTATTTAAGCTTCAACCATCCGGCACTTTCTTTGAGTTTCATTCTTTGCATATGGTTTTCATGTTTCTGTACACTTATAAGTGTGTGTGCTTTTTTCCTGCTGATCTATCTATTGTTAGCTTATTTCATCAACCAATATTACTGAACCTTCAAAGGGAAAATTTAAAACTTCCCTACACTGAATAGTGGACTCAAGATTCAGGCATCCAATGGGCAAAACCAGACAAGACTCCCCACCCCAGGACGCGTAGTTGGCCACATGTAATGTACACACCTTGAGAAGTTTGCCAAGAAGGCCGCTGCACGTGAACTGAGAGAAGGCGTGTCTCTCTGCGTGTGGCACTAACCTCAACAAAAGCCTTGGTAAAGTCACTTTAAAAAGTGCCCTTCTGAAAGCCAGCTCTCTGTGTGGCTGTACTACCATTCTGACATGGAAGGTTTAGGGGAGGGAGGAGCGAAGAATCCACAGCTTTAAAATGGCCACAGGGATCTTGGCAAGCCACCGCAATGCAAATTAAAGGGTGTGTCCACGGGTTAACTTTTCCATGAGTGGCTCCTGGAACCTCCACGGGCTCCCTCCACCAGGAGCCTCCTCCGCCCGCGAGACATGGAGACAGTGGTACCCTGTGGGAACACCCAGCGCTGCCCTCTGACTCCGGGCGTACTTTTCCACCTCCCCTGGGCCTTTCAGCCCAAACACAGACTCTCCTCATCTGTGAGGCCGCAGCTGCTTGAGGCCAGGCAGACAGTAGGGACCAGCTCCAAAATGAGCAACCGCTAGGAACAGGGGAAATCCAGAACTGACCAGAGAGGGTACAGGTGGGAGATAGGCCCAGGACGCCCTTTGGAGAGTCCTTCGCTTCGTTCACATGAAAATTAGAGTTAAGAAAGTCTTCATTCCCATTCTTACCTCCTGCCTAAGACTTGTCTGACCCCTATGCCTGGGAACTCTGGGAAGGCATCACCTTGACTTGAGTGGAAGAGACCATCAGTGGGTCTCAGTTTGGACGAGGCCTTAAGTGGTCATGAAAGCAAAGGGTCTGAGTGCAGGGGGTCACTCCCAGTGTACCCAGCGCCTCCCACCTACGTTCCCCAACTCACAGTGAGAGTAGGCCACGTGCTGGCTCTCACAGACAGCCTCCGGAAGGTCTTTGGGGTGGTTTCTGAAACAGCAGTGAAAGTGACAGCTCATTGTTCAAGTCCAGCATGAAGCACACCCCAAATCCTCTAAGGAGAGCGATACAAGTCTCAGAATAAGAAGACCAGACTCCCCTTTCCTCAAGCTGGTCTCCTCTCCCATTCTCCTTCCTCTACTTGTACAGTGGCTCTGTATCTCAGATCTGCTGTTGTCCCCAGTACCATGTGGACAGCCATCCCTGTTCAGCTCCATCTTACTTTGGGTCATGATTCAGATAATAATGACAACAGCTAAGATCTGTGCAGGTCTTTGGGACACAATTACACATGTGATATGCTAGGTCGACCAACAACCCTGTGAAGGAAATATTGCTATGCCCATTTTGCAGATTAGATCTATTAGTTGTAGATCTCAGGGAGGTAGACTGACACATGCATGATCAAACAGAGAGGAGCGACGAAACTGGGACTCCAAGTCAGGGCCTCTTCCTTGAAGTTCTGAGATCTCTTTATTATACCATGCTGCTATCATTTGGGACCTGCAATGGTGGCCAGGATTCTGTCATCTCACACATCCTTCTCCATTACGACTTCAGTTACCTGAAAAAGTTATAAGCGTGTCCTCTACATCATCAAAATGTATTCATATATTGAACAGGACAGATTCTTGTGTGATATCTTTATAAGCATCTGTCCATTAACCCAGAATCTTTAAGATGAAAAGGAAAATCAGATAGTTATAAAAGTAGGTGAAAAGATTGGAAATTCCGGCAAAAAATTCTGAATACTTTAAAGGACACCGTATTTATATTCCAAGCCTTGTCAATAGAAAAATCAATGATCAGTACCACGCTCTGTTATTTTGCCCAAGAATGAAAAGCAAAGGTAGGGAGACAGCAAGTCACTGACCCAGAGTGCCAGAGTCATCACTCATGCCCTGTTACGTTTTGGATATAAGGTGTCCCCTGAAAAGTTCCTGTGTTAGATCACGCAGGAGTGTTCGGAGGTGGAATGGTCAGTGATGAGCTGTAGCCTCACAATGGGTTAATCCTGATGGATTGGCAACCTGAATGGACCACTGGGTGGTAATCGTAGGCAGATAAAGTTGCTGGAGGAGGCGGTCACTGGGTAGGTAGCCTTGGACTATATCCTGTCCCTGGCTCCTCCTCTGCTTCCTGGCTGCCATAAGATGACCAACTTTCCCGGGCCACTGCCCTTTTGCCACAGGCTCTGCTCATCTCAGGCCCAGAACGAGGGAGTCAGCCCCGTGGACTGAGGCTCTGAAACTGTGAGCCCCAAATGAACTCTTCCTCCTCTAAGTTGTTCTTGTCAGGCATTTTGGTCCCAGTGACGAAAGGCTGACTAACACAGCCCTCCACAGTCTCTAATTACCCTTCTTCTCCCACCTGAATAATACGAGCCTCCCACCATTACTTACCCTTCCTGGGCTAAGTGCGGTTTTAAAACAATACAACTATTAAAACTGTATTACTCAGAGACAACTGGGAAAAGGTCACAGTGAATTATTAAAAACCTAAATCACTTTTTTAATATGGTTGTGTTACTTTCAAGAACCTATGATAAACAGAGCCACCAGAACAGTGCCAGCCAGTGGTCCTCTGGGACCACTGTGGTAAGGAGCAGGCAATTGTCACCCAGTTGAATTTGCTTATTTTATTTACATGAATATTGAAAACATCTCTATCCTTTCAGGACAATTGTGAGTCCCACATTTGCAGAAGTCCATTCATAAAATCTCACTGGGATTTCTCTACTCACCTCTCCTTGGCGTCCAAGAAGGCCTTGGCAAAGGGGTTGTACTTGATCTTGAGGGCTGTTATCTTGCATTTGCAAAGACAAGAAGTGTCAGTGAGAAGGGAACAGGTGCAGGTAGACAGGTCCTTTGTCCTCAGTGTGAACTTGTGGGAAACCAGGAGAGTCCTCCTTCCCCCCCTCCATGTGTCTCTGCGTAGTCCTGGGTTAGGTCTCCATTGCCCTGACCTGGCCAAGGACCCTTCATTATGACAGGAGGTGAGAATGACCAGGGCCTTGCCAAGTGAGCCAAGAAGGGGCGGATTTTAGAAATAAGCAACATCCAAAGCACCAAACCCGGAATGCCTTCTTCTACTCACTTTTTTATTTTCAGTCATCACTGAGCACCAAACACATGAGTTCCTTTTCTTGTCACTTGGGACATACTAAGGAGTGGTACCGCTGTGATCCTCCTCTTCTGGAGAGCACGGGCCAGTTCCCTCCCTCTTACATAATCATCGCCCATTGAGCCATGTTAATGGAAGAAGCACGGTGGCCCCAGCCCTGCCATTGTGCTAGCCTTAGCTGTGTCCCCTCTCAGAGCCATCTGATCCAGACAGTGAGATAGGGAGAGAGAGGGAGGGAGGGAGGGAGATAGGGAGGGAGAGAGGGAGAGAGGAAGGAGGGAGGGAGGGAGAGAGAGAGGGAGGGAGGGAGAGAGAGAGGGGAGGGAGGAAGGAGGGAGGGAGGGAGAGAAGGAGGGAGAGAGGAAGGAGGGAGGGAGGGAGGGAGGGAGAGAGGAAGGAGGGAGGGAGAGAGTGAGGGAGAGAGGGAGAGAGGAGGGAGGGAGGGAGGGAG